GGGTTTAGGGCCGAAACCCTAAACCCACAACTTAAACAACAAGGGGATCTGAACTCCAAGCCCAAATCGGAGATTTTCGTGGAGGCGCCCTCTGAGCCACAGTGGACATCGTCGGCACCAGGAGAGGGGCGCCAGAACTACAAGTATGCTGCATACCAGGCAGGTGGGCTGCGGGTAGGCGAGGGCTTATAGGGCTTTTTGGGGTTGTCTTGTGTTGTGGGGTCTTGGGGTTTAGGGTTGGGGCTTGGGCAGCGTTTTGCGGGTCTTAGGGTTTAGGCTTGTTTTTTTTTTTGTGGGTTTTGGGCAGGGTTTTGGGGGTCTTCTCACTGATCTTCGGGGCTTTATAGGTAGGCGAAACTCCAGACCTCAAGCCCTTGATTGAAAGCAGGGCCTGAGTCATCAGAATATCTAAGGACTTTAGGAGGGACCCCTAATAGGGACCCTTAATCCCATTACCTTAAATAACCATTGTATAGTCCTTGTATACCCCTTACATAGTCAGGTAGTCTCCATATTAACCCCAATAACCTACAAGGGTCCCTATTACGGGTCCCTCATAAAGCCCTTAGGGAATAGGGCATGGAGACATCTTGCACTGTGACTGCATTGATATCGGGGCCACAAAAGGTAACCTAAACCCTAAACCCTAAACCCTAAACCCTAAACCCTAAACCCTAAACCCTAAACCCTAGACCCTAAACCCTAAACCCTAAACCCTTAACCCTAAACCCTAAACCCTAACTAGTTTCTAGGCTTTCGGGCCGCAGATGCCCCTTCTCCGATATGTTTTCTTGCAGTATCTTCTCTGAGACTGTCTTGCAGCGAAATCTGAGATCTGCAATGTAAGACCAGGTCTATGCCAAAATCCACCAGCTCCGCTGTCTCCTTTCAAACCCAAACCCTAAACCTAAACTCTAAACCCCAAAACCCCAAAACCCTAAACCCTAAACCTTAAACCCCATAAACCCAATCAGGTTTTTGGAAAACCATATGCAGCCCTTGGAAACCCTGAAACCCTAATATAGGGGCCTGAATACATACTAGGGGCCTGAATACATACTATTTTGCGGGTTCCTTATTGTAACTGTAGTGTAATATATCCCGAAACCCTATTCTAATTGTTAAGGCTTCTATATTAAACCCTAAACCCTAAACCCTAAACCTTCAACCCTAAACCCTAAACCCTAAACCCTAAACCCTAAACCCTAAGCCCTAAACCCTAAACCCTAAGCCCTAAACGGCCTCCCACCCCGGTTTCAGAGGTCGGGGAGCGAAATGTGATGAACTTCGCTATCCACGGAGATGGCCTGTGCAGTGCCATGGGCGAAACTAGGCTCTAGGGCTTCGGGTTTAGGGGTTTGGGGTTTAGGGGGGGTAGGGTTTTAGGGATTTAGGGCTTCGGGTTT